AAAAGTTTAAATTTTTTTTTTCCCAAAAAAAAAAAAAAAGTGGAGCAAAAGTGTGGACCGAATTATGCAACAAATCGAGCAAATATTCAAACCCATTCACTGCCAGCCCATCGTTCAAACCGTGGACCTTTGACTTCTACGGCCATCGATGGCGATGAATGAGGTCTCAAAAGTCACTGTACTCTTCTTTTTAAAAAATATCTTGTTGCAGGTGTTATCCAGACAGACCTGACGCCATCAGTATTTGGCATCTTGGGCGTTGCAGTTTTTTTAAGCATATTTTTCTCCGGCCCAAGGCTTGCTTGTTGACATTGAAGCAGTGTTGCAAAATTGGTAGGCAGCAAACAGTTTTTTTGAAGCTTGAAAGGGACGATTATGAAACCTGAATCAAACACTGAATTGATTTTTTTTTTGTTGTTGTTAATGTTGAGTTGCAGTGCAGCCCCAAGACTGTTGCGATCCGGAATAATCCGGATAAGGGTGGATCCCACAAACATAGACAGGGACAAACGGTCTTTACAAAAAGTTTTGTGACAGAAAGTTTAAGACCGACAAAATACAAATTTAGTCGCTGGTACTCAGAGCCATGATAAATTCTCGCCATCCCACTTGCTTACCGTATCGGCAATGAATCTAGTATAAATGTTTATTATATTGACTACACAGTGTGTAGACAAAGTGTGTTTCGAATTTACTATGCTGCAATTTACAGATGATCCGATTAATCGACTAATTGCCTAATTATAATTGACTAATTCATCTGTTGCACGGGCCACTACACTTACCCCAACCTGCCTCTGCGGGACTTCCCGGGTCATGACATTACTTCCACCATGCTTCACAAATGATCTTGTGTATTTTGGATCATCCTTCTTTCTTTTTCAGAACATTCCAAATTATTGTATTGGTTATGCCCGATGTTTTTGCAATAGCTCGGATCAACTATCTTCTGTCGGCTTCAAAATGGTTTGATATTCTCTCACATCCAGCTCTCTCTCTCATCTTCATACTGTATTGGCTTAACAGCAAACTCACAAGGAGAAACCCAAAGCTAAAACAAGCATATTTTCTGTTTTAGCAATCAAGCTAAAAGAGGCATGACTTGAGCAACTCCAAACACCCATCAGTCACATGTTCCAGTACTTTTGCTCACTTCAAACGCGGGTGGCTTCAAACAAAAGATGCCCTCTCCTGATTTGTTGAACACGCCTAAATCTAAATACCACAAATTAAAAGCTGGAATTCAGAAGTGTTGTTTCATATTCATATTTTGATCTGAAACCCAAATGTCCTCAGCATACAAGAAAAAACAAATGAACAGAGCTTGCCGCTCCACTACTTTTGGAGGGGACTCGATACTGTGCCTGAACGTTTTCAGAAAAATCACGTTTTTCTAGCCAGAGAAACTTGTTTTTCCTTCCCTCTTAGGTTCATGTCGTTCATATTGTGTAACAGAAGGGAGCCCCCCGAGGACATTTGTTGTTTGTATGCTCCTTAATGTGCCAGTATAGCTGCAAACCACACCTCCAAGAAAACCCGCAGCCTAACATTGCATGCTTAGACGGTGTTACATGACTCTCACCTGACTGATGATAGTCAAAATTGTTATAGAAGTAAACTGAAGCAAGTTTAAACCTCGACTTATTAGCATTAATTGTCAGTCAGGTGGAAAAACAAGTTTCACATTGTGACAGACAACTCAAGACAAAGACAAACAGCAAACTCCTTTTCTGCTCATGCAGGCAAACAAATAACTGGTGTTATAAGCGAGTGACTGTGTGTTTGCTAGCTACAGCAGTAAATCATAGTGAGCTAGATAGTTGGATTTTTTTGTTTTTATCTCCAAATTGTGCTAGATTTTCCTTGAAGATACTTTGGATCAAGAAAAAGTCTAAAAAATATTCTACTTTTTCTGTAAAATCAAAAAAATGTAACTATCTTGATTTTTTTTCGCCAACTCACAGCATTTATTGAGAAAATAATGTCAAGTTTTCTTTTGTGTGGGGCACAAGGTTAGTAAGTAGATAGCAAGCTAATTACTTTGCTAGCTGACAGGCAAACAAATAACTTTGGAGTTATAAGCGAGGGACTGTGTGTTTGCTAGCTACAGCAGTAAATTTTTAACATCATAGTGAGCTACATAGTTGGATTTTTTTGTTTTTATCTCCAAATTATGCTAGATTTTCCTTGAAGATACTTTGGATCAAGAAAAAGTCTGAAAAATATACTACTTTTTCTGTAAAATTAAAAAAAATGTAACTATCTTGATTTTTTTCTCCAACTCACAGCATTTATTTAGAAAATAATGTCAAGTTTTCTTTTGAGTGGGGCACAAATGCTCCTTTGTACCAATCACGCTGTTGGTTAACAGGATTACACGTGAAAAGAACATCAAGATGCTTTTCACTGCCACCGTAATTTCCATTTCCTGTTCTGTGGTTATTGTGTCACACTTTGTAATTGTGTTGCTATTACAACTGAAATCTACAAAGGATTTTGTTCAACTTATACTTTGCTTCATTGTTGTCTTTCTGAATGAAGCGTTCATCAGACTGCCAACCCCAGGTGGCAATAGAAACGAGGGCGTAGTCTGTAATAATGATAATTTTGTCAAGGCACACACACGCACAGACTCGTACATTTGACAGTCCTAAGAAGCCTGACAATTCACTTCTGCTGTTCTTGAGAACGGGAATGAATCAACCGGAGTTAATTTTGTGATTTTTCTTTTTTAAAAGAACATCAAGATGCTTTTCACTGCCACCGTAATTTCCATTTCCTGTTCTGTGGTTATTGTGTCACACTTTGTAATTGTGTTGCTATTACAACTGAAATCTACAAAGGATTTTGTTCAACTTATACTTTGCTTCATTGTTGTCTTTCTGAATGAAGCGTTCATCAGACTGCCAACTCCAGGTGGCAACAGAAACGAGGGCGTAGTCTGTAACAATGATAATTTTGTCAAGGCACACACACGCACAGACTCGTACATTTGACTGTCCTAAGAAGCCTCACAATTCACTTCTGCTGTTCTTGAGAACGGGAATCAATCAACCGGAGTTAATTTTGTGATTTTTCTTTTTTTTCTTTTTAGGACTACGTATCTTTTCCAAGGTACTGTTCTTGTTTGCTTTAGTGCACAGTTTTCATGTTTGTGGTGCGTCAACCACACTCACTGTCATGCTTTCTCTTTTGCGCAAATCATTTCCAAATGGAAAGACATTGTTAAACATCTGTGTAGACCATCAGGAATGTTTTGTTTTTGTTTTATGGCAAATGGCCCAAATAAAGGAATAATAAAGGAATGGACAAATATACTGAGGACATCAGAAAGTGGGAAAAACTGTCATGGAACTCAGTAGGGCTTCCGTAGAAAACACACACCGTCTTGAACCCCAACATGTCATCTTTTGTCTCCAGCATGGTTCAGAAGGTAGCCGTGATTGGCGCCGGGATGTCAGGCCTGACCAGCATCAAATCCTGTTTGGAAGAAGGTCTGGAGCCCACCTGCTTTGAGAGCGGTCCTGACATCGGCGGTCTATGGAGATTTAAGGTTTGCTTTCAAAACAAAAAACACTTTCGGCTGAGATTTAGCCAACAACTTGTTGTTGACACATGACAGGAGGAACCGGAGCCCGGACGGGCCAATATCTACGAGTCTGTGGTACTCAACAGCTCCAAGGAGAGGATGGCCTTCAGTGACTTCCGCGACGGGCGGCAGGAGAGTGAGGTTTTTGACGCCGTGATGGTCTGCACGGGACTCTTCACCACCCCCAACCTGCCACTCAAAGACTTTCCAGGTACCCACCCCGTCATTGATTGCAAGGGTGAACCTCGCTATTTGTGGAGTTTAGGGAGCTTGGCACTAACGTTTTGCGGTTGAATTTTCAGGAGGTGGTTTTGCCCCGCTAAAAACGTTAATAATCATTTCGCAGGAGTGTGAACTTCTTTGCAAATTCACCTTCTCTGAGAATTTCCTTGGAAGCTGTCCTTCGTCTTTCACTGAAAAGCACCTTGCCTCTCTGCTGCCACCTTGTGGCCATTTTGGTGCTAGAAACTATGATGACATAAGTTGAAGATGTTTATTTTGTAAGAAGTCGTGCTCATGATAATCGTTTAGAGACTCTCGAAAAAGAGGACATTTTGCTGAGCTGCATTCAAATTCAGATTGCGGTAGTCCATAATCTTGCTAGCCACTTGGATTGACGTTAACAACCATTATTTTAGGTAGAATGCATTGGTTACCCCGGAACAGATTTGATGGCGATCCTGTACTGTATTCTGATTGGCCAATCTGATTTTCGGGACTGAGCACTTGTCAAACGTTTGTGCACAGTTTGATGAGATCACAGGTTCTTTTTTTAAAAAAAATGTCCACGGTCCAGGTATAGAGAGCTTCACTGGCGAGTACTTTCACAGCCGGGATTACCGAAACGCTGAAGGTATGCGCGGGAAAAGAGTGGTTGTCATCGGGATTGGAAGTTCCGGAAAGACTCTCGAAAAAGAGGAAATTTTGCTGAGCTGCATTCAAATTCAGATAATTGTCCATAATCTTGCTAGCCACTTGGATTAACGTTCACAATGATTATTTTAGGTAGAATGCATTGGTTACCCCGGAACAGATTTGATGGCGATCCTGTATTCTGATTGGCCAATCTGTTTTTCGAGACTGAGCACTTTCTTGTCAAACGTTTGTGCACAGTTTGACAGAGATCACAGGTTCTTTTTTTTTTAAAAATGTCCACGGTCCAGGTATAGAGAGCTTCACTGGCGAGTACTTTCACCGCCGGGATT